TCGATAGATTGTTTTTCTTAATTATTTAATATACAAATAAAGTGTCTTGAAACGTAACTGACCAGAAGTTACTTAAAAATACAACAATTTTCAATTAATAACAATTATAAAAATTTATTTTATGTACTTATTATTTTTGTCATACTACCAATTGATTTTATAAGGCGAAGAATTAGAACCAAAAATTAGTTTATATATATTCCAGTGATAATATTTATTAAATATGAAATATTTGATTGATTTTGTTTGTTTGTAGACAAAAGTCGTGCCTTCGAGATCTAATTCAACGCAAAGCTTTGACGATGCATTACGAGAAGCAGAAGCAACGAGACGTGCATCAGCAGCACCATCGGCAACCAGTCCGACCATTCCCGAGGACAAACTTCTCTCTTAGAATTGGTTTTCAAATCTTAACGATCACTTGTCTCTCCTTTTCCGCGCTACACACACGCCAACGATTACTATAATCGAATTATTAATTCGATTTAATAATCGATTATCCTTACCTTCACACTCTACGCTCTATTATTAATTAATCGTCCATTGCATTTTTATAATAATCGGAGCTAATCCGCTGATGAAATAAGTGTATGGGATCGAGAGAAATTATTATTATTATTATTATTATTATTATTATTACTATTACTATTATTATTATTATTTTATTAATTTTATTATTATTTTATTATTATAATTATAATAATAATTATTATTATTAGTATGTTAAAGGAAGAAAAAAATGGACCATGAGCCTACGAAAAAGAAAAACACGATAATTAAGAAAATTTATTTAAGTTTTCAGAGATTGTTTTATAAAATTATTATTATTATTATCATTATTATTATATTATTATATTATTGATATGATGCGAACAATTACGTTATTAGCTAAAAAGGTACACGAAAGAAGTATTGTTCTTTTTAATTTGTTTTGGATAGGAAAAAAAAACTAACTACAAGTTTATGATAATAGAGATTGTTCGATAATGTTGCAGATCATAAAAAAAAAAACGAGACACGTAACCTCGCAATCGAAGTGGATATTTTAACGAGGCTTTCTCGTGTAATGTTTTCTTTTCTTATTTATTTATTTTTCTATCGTTTATAGATTTTTTTTTTTTTCATTTTTATTTTGCACGAAATAAATATGGTTGTTGTTTTTTTTTCTTTTTCTTAAGACAAGTAGGTTCGTGGTAGATCAATGAGCTTATTTTGTTCTTTTTATTTTTATTCATAATTTTTGACGATTTTTCTTCCTTTCATTCTTCTGATTCTTTTTTTTTCCTATAAGAGTTTTCTTTCTTTAGTTTTTTTTTGTTTCCCCCCTGTTTAAAATATAAATCATATTTCAAACGAAGAGATTATATTTTAGCACTGCTACGCGGGCACTGTGATTTTTAATTGATTTTTGAGTATAAATATACGACGAAGCATTTTAATATTGAAAGTATATATATATATATGGTTGAGAGATATAAAATGAAAAAAGAAAATTATAAAAAAAAGTAATAAAAATAACGAAGCGCTAAAAACCCTGAAAAAAAAAACACACACACGAATATATATACATAAATTATATTTCAATTAAATCATTTCTTCTACTTATGTTTTTTTTCTTCTTCTTGCACTTTAAGTTGGTAAACGTTAAACATTGACTAAGCACATAATTAAATATATAAATATTATATTTTGTATTGCCTAGGTCATCGTAATTTTTTTTTTTTTTATTATTCGTTCTCGTATTTGTTTCTTCTTTTCGTTGTTTTTTAAAATTTGCAATAAACGTCAGTCGTTTAAAAAACGATTATATCGACGGTAATAAAATAAAACAAAACAAATTACTTTTTATAATGATCGTGGATCATACCCGTCCTTCGACAATACTGAATTTAAAACGTTCACTGCTGCATACACATGCATACACATAAAAATATATATACATATATATCTATATGTATATATTATATTTTATGGCAAATTTAATTTTATCATTGATATATATATATATAGCAACTAAAGTTTGCTCGCCAAATAAATAAATCATTGTTCACGCTCTATCAGACTAATTTTAAATAAATAAATTAAGAAAATCGACCAACAAGAAAAATAAGCAAGAAATTAAATCGAACAATAATTATAAAGTTTAAATAAACATCGAATAAACGAAATTTCTAATATTAGTTATTTTCTAAATAAAATAAAGTTACGAAAAAATATTCTTAAGGTATTGTGTTTGTAGCACAGAAGTTAATGCGAAGAAGATAAAGGTACGAATTAAGAACGGTCTAATGTGAAATATAAAAATTAAAAAATTTTAAAAACAAGATGACAATGATGTGTTGTTGGTGAATGATACGTTTAAACAAACGAGGGTAAGTAGAGTATGATATAATAATAGCTACGAATTTAATTAATTAATTAATATAACAATTTTGAAAATGAAGCGAGCTAATATTATGTAAAGCCTTACAGACGTACAGTGAATTACTTACTATTATATATTTTCTAACGAGTTAGAAAGTATAGATAGAATTAAATAATAATTAAAAAAAAAGAAAAAAAAAAAAAGAAAAAAAAGAAAGACGGAAGCAAGAAAATGTTAGTTAAGAATATTTTCTATTGTAGCTTTTTAAACAGAAAAGAAAATACATAAAATTAATATAAGGAAAAATCACGGTGGCTGAAAATGCGTTTGCTTGCTAATCCTTAAGCACACACACACACACATACACATACATATACAAATGCGTACATGTATGTTGTTCACACACTGGCGCGAACTTCTGGAATATTTATTTAACACAAATACACAGAAGACAGAAAGAAACAAACACTGATATAATACTTATAGATAGACATACGTACGTGTATTCATTGAAAATGCTGCCTCTGAGAATGTTGCTCGTCAATATTGTCCAAACGCGTCGATAATCATGAATTATCCATGTATAATACATATATATCTTACCGGCATTGATCGGTCATAGGCTGCTGCATAATCTGCATCTTCTTGTTCATATTGGTCAAATAAATTATTTTACGAAAAGGCAAATGATCTGTTACGAAATGTATACATTTACACATGTATATAAATATATAAAGTTTCCTGTAATTGATGATATAATCAGATAGGAAGTGATTTTACATATTTCAGAATTTTTGTTTTTCATCACGCCTTTTGATCTTTTTTATCATTAGTTATAGGATACCTTGTACCTTTCCCATGAAATTTATATTACTTTAAAATACTCATGGTTTATGTAAAATAATTAATAGAAATATTTTACAACTCATTTGTTTAACCCTTTGAGTACTGAATACTTTTAACTAAAATGTTTTTTAGGAACAAAATAATTTATTATTTACTAGATTCTAATAATAAATTACATTTAATAATTAAAGTTTTTGTTTCTGAATATAATTTAATTAATTAATATAAACATTACAACATATTAACAAACATGTATATGCGTCCATAGCACTCTAAGGGTTAATACTCTAATTTTTTGTATGTCAATGTTTTAAATTTCATTTAATTATTATTATTAATTTTGTAATAATCATAATAATCATCTGTGTTAGCATAACAGCTGCTGGTTTAGGGAAAGGAAAACTAGTTCGTTAGTGGTCCCCGGGGTGGGTGGGTCCCAGTCACCACCAGTGGGTCCTCAGGTTGCAGATAGAGAAAGGGCCTCTTTGTTTTACAGCTGAGGTTAGCTGCGAATAAATTGAATAAACAGTCATAGACTGCTGATTGGAATTGGACCTCCTGTTCGGGGGTTGGGCGTAGGTCTGATTAGCCCACATCGTAAAACGACTTAATTAAGAAACAAAAATTACCACCATGAATTCATTTAATTAAATTATTAATTATTATTATTGAAATATTTCAATATTTATCTAAATGTTAAAAATGAAAATCACAATAAAACGATGAATTGATTCTATGCAATAATTCGTCAATGATATTAATTAGTAACAAAATTATTTAATAATATAACACATGTTTATAAAATAATTAATCAATGATTTAATTATCTATAAAATAATAATTCAACGACTATAGTATCTATTTAAGTAATTCATCAAATGCAAATTTCCTAATTAATCTACAATAGTAAATCATAGATCATTAACTTAAAAATAAAATCATTAAGATTAATCATAAAAGAAGGGATTTTTTTTTTTAAAAAAGAATTAAACATCTACTTTATTTTCGTCCTGCACGTTGGTACAAAACATTATTCTTTTTTCGTGCGCGTATTATCATATTACGCCTAAGTACAAAACAAATAAACAAGAAAAAGAAGAAAAAAACGAAGGGGTTGTATTATCTTCTCTCTAATTAATTAATTAAAAAAAAAAAAATAGAAAATAGTGATATCACACACACATCACTATTTTTCGATTGTGTCGCAGCAGCAATTTCTTTCGAGTGAGAAAAGAAATTGTAGATAATAATAAAAAGAAGAATAAGAAGAAAGAGAGAGCTGCGTGTTGCTAACTTACACATACATCTTTTTTCTATACGTGTATCATGTGTAAATACATATATATATATAATATCTCTATTGTATACATATAATTTGTCGTATCTCTGCGTGTGTGTACATAGATTTATATGCATATTCATATACACACACATATATAGATATATATATTACGACTTCGTTAACAACATAAAATGTAATTATTCACATAACAGAGTAATCTGCGATATCTATATATAAAAAAAAAAATTATTATAACGATCTGGTTTTGTACTTAATAGGCCGACGCTTAAAATCGTACTATATATTTTATCGTAGATACGTCCGAGACATTATTTTCATTACTAACCAAATCTCACGTTATCTCTTGTGTTTATATATTTACGCGTATTTTTTCCTTTAATTATAATATTACAATAATAATAATAATAATAATAATAATAATAATAATAATAATAATAATAATAATAATAATAATAATAATAAAATTATTAATAATAATTATGATGNTTTGGGTGCTTCAGGTGGAACGTCCCCTTAAATAAATATCCAGTTGTACTTCTCCGATCCGTTTGTTCACTACCTCCCCAATCAGAATCGACATAACCACTCAATATGTTCTTATAGTCAGTTCTAGTGTAAGTTAATTTAATATCAGCTGATCCTTTAAGATATCTGAGAACTCTTTTAAGGTTTTTCCAAAGTTCTTTGTTACTTTTATTTGAGTACCGACTCAGGGTATTCACAGHAATACTCAAATCGGGTCTTGTACAAACCATTATGTACATCAAACATCCAATTAAATTTCGACAGGGTGCATCATATTTTTCATCCGAATTCAAAGCTAAATGATCTAATACAGTAGGAAGGGGTGTACTAACGGGCTTGCAATCTTGCATGTTAAACCTTTGAAGAATAGTTTTGATATATGAACTCTGATCTAATGTTATTTTTTCTTTGATTCTCTCTACTTTAATTCCTAAAAATAATTTAATTTCATTTAAGTCTGTCATGCAAAATTTATTCATTAGATAACTCTTAAAAGCTCCCATTTTCTCTATCCCAGCAGTTACAATCACAAGATCATCCACATATAGTACCACATATATATTCTCCAACATATTCTTTTTATCCAAAATATAAACGCAACGATCTACTGGCGAATTTCGGAATCCTTTTTCTACAAGGGCTTTATCAAACATCTCGAACCAACATCTAGCAGATTGTTTTAGACCATATAAAGCTTTATTCAATTTGCATACTTGATTACTATTGCTTTTTACGCCTTCAGGAACCCTCATGTAAATTTCYTCTTTTAACACACCGTTCAAAAATGCGGTTTTCACATCCATATGATGAACTAATAAACCATGATGATTTTCAAAAGCAATGAGGAATCGAAAACTTGAAATCCTAGCAACTGGTGCAAAAGTTTCATTATAATCTATCAAATATTTTTGACTAAAACCTCGAGCAACAAGTCTAGCCTTGTATTTAATTGGATTCCCAAATTCATCATTTTTAACTGCAAATACCCACTTGCAATCGACAATGTTCTTATCTTTTGGCTTCGATACCAAATTCCAAGTTTTGTTCATATTAAGTAAATTTATTTCATCTGCAATAGCTTGTTCCCATTTTTCTTTATCATTTCTCGTCTTAATTTCTTCAAATTACATGGGAATTGAATAAACTATAGATTGTGTAGTCAACAGATAATCATTGTCAATCTCCATTTCATCATACGAGATAGGAGATCTTTGTTTAATCCTACAACTCCTTATGGGTCCTATACTATCCTTAGATTTCCCCTCTTTAATATCCTTAGATTTCGGTTCTACAGCTATATCTGTTTCAGGTATAATTTTACTTTTTATGGAATCTACTATTATTTTCTCTCTCGACCTTACCATATCTGATTTCTCACTATCAGATTTATTTCTTTTACATAGATCTGATTTGTCACTATCAGATTTATTTCTTTTACATACATCTGATTTCTCATTATCAGATTTATTTCTACTACATACATCTGATTTCTCACTATTAGATTTATTTATCTCACCTCTCATTTCTACTGATTTTGGCATCACACTTGACGCATCAGTTTCATGTGAATCTCTTTCCGAATTCACTTCTTTCAGTACCGGTCGAAAGTTCAAGTAATTTATTTCATCTACTATTACATCCCTTACTATTTYWAATTTTCTATACTTAACATTCCAAATTTTATATCCATTCGATACAAATCCTACTAATATAGCTTTGTAAGA